GGGAGGGGTTGGGCTGATCCTGGGGTACGGAATAGATATTCTCGTCGAGCATTTGGCCATAAATAGGGGGCATATCTGTGGCGCCGGCGACGATCACAACAGACTTCTTGAGACTATCGGACGATGGGATGGGAGGTAAGGGTTGCGAGAGAATCGACGGCCTATTGTCGACATTGGACTGATGAATGTGGGCTCTCATGGTCTGGAAGCGCTCGACGAGGCGCTGATGCAGCGGACGCACCGCCTGCGGGGCTAACCGGCCGTGGAGTGTGAGCCCGCCTTCGAGAATGCGCACCTGATGGGCGATCCCCGACTTCAGGCGCACGATATATGACGAGAGGTTAGGGTTGGCGGCGATGAACGCCGGCACCAGAAAGGCGTCCATATATTTGGCGACTCCGCCATTGACTGCCGCCTCGAGAATACCCTACAAAATAGCGAGAGTGGGAAAGGGATTACAAACTCATTCGACAACACATTCATCGCTTTACTTGTAATCTCATAGACAGCGGCGAAATGGACTCGTATTTGGCATCAGTGGTGAAACTGGAGATCAATTTGGATAACTCTGCGTTCATATTCTCGATGGTCTCACACGCGTGCTCTATGGGTGACACTTGGGTCACGTGAGTGGCCACCACCTCAAACATACGCAACACTCCGGGCAACTGGTGCTCAATCTGACAGCACGTCCGCTCGATCCACAGCGACTTGAACTCGTTGTTCGGGTCAAAGGGCGCCCTTTGAACGGGCCGGTCGTATATGAATTTGCGCACACAGTTGGTGCTGTAGTAGTTGAGCGCCGTGTCCGGTATCTGCGAACTACCGGTGCCTATATTGCACTCATTCTTAAGTATATGCGGCGGTTCGGGCACTGGCTTTACGGCCACTATTTGAATGTCTGTTTGACAAACAAAATTATTAATACTAAAATAAAAACCGATAACAAGTGATGCCATTGAGGGCACCTGTACTGTACGTACTTTGGGACTGGGATTCGGTGATACTCTCGTCCGGCGGTACGTTTTTGGTCATGAGTTGCGCCGAAGGGAACTCCGATTGTATGCGCTGCGTAAATGCGCCGATCTTTTCCAACTCCAGACCACGGAATATAAACACCCGATTCTACACACCAAACACAAATCAAACCATAAATACCAGCCCACGGGTGGGGGAACGGTATGCTGGGGTACATACCTGTAGAAAAGAAGGAAAGTCGAGTCCATAGAAGCCGACCCTAAAGTACTCGTTCTCTGGCCTTAATTTAGTCAAAATCTTATCCAAAAACGCTGAATGCCTTTTCAGCACTTGACTCAACTTGTCCAACGCGTACTGGCGCTCATACACCGGCGCCAACTCCTTACACATGTTCACCCCTTCCTCCCAACACGAGCCCCTATCAAAGTAATCGATAATCTGCTGATAGAGCGCCTCCTTTTTGAGATACTCGGCCGCGTCCCACGACAGGAGGTTTGTGTGCAATTGCAGAGCGAATGCCGACTCAGCGAAGTTGCCTAACGGGATGTGCAGCGCCGACAGCTTCGAGATGTACCGCAACATAATGGCCGTCCGATTGGACGAACATATCTCGTCCCTATAGAAGCGCAACAGAGCGTACGTACACATGAGTACGGAGTCGCCATCCCCTGACATGACTGTCCGGTAGTCGATCAATAGTGACATCAACTTCGACAACGAGTTTATCAGTCGTAGACCATCTTCACGCCATAATGGGTTCAATTGAGACAACTTGTCGTTCAGACTATAGTAGTGGACATAACATGTGAGTTACATTCAACACTAAATACATTCAAATGATTATTATTGGCTATAATTATTGCAAATGTCTTACTATTGTTTAATATCATCCCTATTAAGGTACCGGTAGTAATGGTAAGCATTCAGAGTTTAAAAGCATTAGTTTTATAAGAAATAACACATAAAACTAATTGACAGATAATTGTTTGACTAGTAATGCACTTACATCGTGGACAGTAGTTCCCGGAACTCTGGGTCACCGGCGCCGTTATTGACCAGAATATCCAGTTTATCGATTAGAGCGCACTCCACCTAAACACCCAAAAACACCAATCAATTACATAACCACCAAAAAACACCACAACTATCACCACAAACCTGCTTGAAGTTGCCGTTAGCGTTGTACTCGACATCAATCATATCGTAGAATATAGGAATGGTAGCCTTGCGGAGGTCGGCCTCCGGCACGAGCGTCACCTCCAGGAAAGGGCTAACCAGCGCCGGAATGAACCCAATCTTGGACGCACCCAACTGTTCCCAACAGGCGACCAACTGGAAGCCCATGAGTACACGCATATCGCCGTACCTATCGGTGATGGCATGTTGTTTGAACCACGAGTACCGCTCCAACTGAAGGCCCGGTTGTGTCAGAAAACTGATGGCCAATGAGAAGAACGAACGCCACACCACTATATCGAAAGCGCCGCCCAAGAAGTCCCGGCTCATTATGGCGCACAACTCCTGCAGCGAACACAGTATCACGTGATTGGCCGTCATCTTCATGGCCGACCAGTGGGCGGGGAAGTGGTTGAGTGTGGCGTGAAATGCGGCGAATATATGGCACAAGAGTTCTTTGCGTTGTCGATGGGACCTGATCTCAAACAACTGGACGTAATCGCGTTCACTCATGCGCTCCAGAAGTGAT